ACAATGCTGATCACTAGTCTATAAACCTATTGAAGGTTAGAGTGCTGTTAAAATTATATTGTCCCAGCTTGTTCAAGTTCTGGGTACTGCTTTTAAAATTGGGAGGTATGGTTGAACGCTAAAATTTAATATAAAAATTATAGTTTATCTCTTTGGAAAAAATATGTATTATTTAGAAAAGACTATTTCATTGGGTGGTACAATTTTTTTCACTTAAAATGATGATATACCGTTTTTTTTATTGATTGTTCGGTTAACGGTTTAGTATCTTTTTCATGAAAAAAAATAGCATCTATCGGCGATTCTTGACATGTCAACTTTAAAGTTAACAAAAATGTAATTGTTTTGATTTATAATTGAAAAAACTTACCAAAATCAATTACTGTATCATTGAATAATTATAAAATGCGCATATGACTCATAATATATATACAGATTTTGTATTACAGCAATTCTAAAAGTCTGTTTAACTACTGGTCCCATTTTTAAAAGTGTTCAAGTACTGGGTACTTTATCTTAGAAAGATTTAGTTTTTTGTCATACAACTCTTTTATTATAATTATTATAATAAAAAAATATAAATATCTTGAAGAATATCAATGAAATCAGTCGTAAATGAGACTAAGTCTCATTTATAAATCTCCTTCTAAATTTAAAATTGCCTCAAAGTTCACCTGGGGTCCACTGAACCCCGTGTGTCTTCAACGAGTTAAAATGTCTACACGTCAATTTTTTTTGCCTTAAATTTATTAGTAATAACTCTTAAAATCATCAAATATGTACTTGTAAATTAATTATCATTAAGAATATTTAAACTAAATAAAACAACTATTGCAGCTCCGCAAACGATAATTTGTCCTGGCCGAACGCAGGGCGATGGAATGGAAAATGTGTCGAATATTCCATCAAACATTGACGAAAAAGTAAAAAAAAAAATAAATTTACGCGATAAATTGATCTATCACCCGTCAAATCTCAAGCAGCAGTCATCATGCCCACCCGTGACTCCAACAGGCACCATAGTGAAGTTAATCCCGAAAAACGTGACTCAGATAAAGAAGGAAAAATTACTGAGCTCGTTAAAAAAATCTAAGGAGCCTAAATTTGTCCCTTACGAGCCCTACAAGGCAGCTGTAAATCCAATTGTCCCTAATGAGCGTAAATTTATCCGCGGTTCAAGGAATAATCTTGATATAAATGAGATGGTGGCTCAGATGTCGCTGCACAAGTCGATAGAAATTCAGAAAAACGACCAGAGATTAGCACAAACTCTTAGTAAGGATGAAAGGGAGCTCAAACAGTGGGAGGTTGATAAGAAAACTTACGAGTTAGAGCTACAAAAGCTCAGGGAAGAAAACAGCCAGCTGGAGAACCAACTTAAGTTCCAGGCGCAAGTAAATGGCGAGTTAAAAAATTTACTTGTTGCGGCTGTCGGGGAAGATTTGGAGACCAAGGTTCATATTTTGACTGAAGACAAGCTCCAGCTGTCTCAGGCTCTGCTGAACTCCGCGAGACACTTGAACACTCATCAGGAGCAAACTGAGTGGCTTGCAGGACAATGCGAGGTTTGGAGGAGCAAATTTCTGGCCAGCAGTCTCATGGTTGAGGAACTAGCTCGCTGGAAAGCTGCGCTGTGTCAAAGGACTACTGACCTTCAGGAAGGCATCAAGAGGATGCTGGAGGAGCACACTAAGGTTCGTGATACTTTGACCAAAACTTACAGGACGCTCAGTGTTATCAGGGAGAACTTTGACCCAGCTGGGACGCTGACTTACAGGAGACACGAGCTCCCTAGTAGCAATATTGTTGATCTAGCTGACGGGTGCTGCCAGATTGCGGAGATTTTAAATGTTAAGTTGCTCAGTAGCATGGATCCAGTTAGGAAATTTAAGCAAGTTGATACGACGGGTCTTGAGATGAAAACTGTCGCAGAGAAACATGTTGAGCAGCTGCTGATGAATCCTAATTTAATGATGTCCGGGAGGCAGGATGCCGCTTGCAGCGCTGTTATGGGAGCTGCTTTTGCGCTTTCAGGGAAAATTTGTCTTCCTTCTATTATGAGTGACAACAATATGGCGAGTTGTCCTCATTGCAGTGGGGAAATTCAACAAGTTTGATTAGGCTAGATGAAAGTTGCATTTATTTGGGGGTAATTGGAAAAAATAGACCGAAAAATTTTACAGTTATGAAAAATCTATATTAAGAGAATTTTGTGGCTAATTTATTTATATGATAAAATTTTTAGGGTTAAATTTGAATCGTTGGAAAAGTCTTGACCTGGAGTTGTGACTTTTCAAGGTTTCATATCATTTAGACCAATAGTCAATTTATGATGATAAGTATTTAGGCTGCATTAGAAAATGCTCTATTTCTAGATACATAATTAAGAAATTACAGTGTTTCTTGGGAACTATTGACATTTTTTAAGATATAAGCTCATCCTGATGTTACACTCATCAAGACCTTTCATTTGAGTACCCACATCAATTTTTCATATATTTTATATATTTATAATATATATGAATATATGAAAAATATATCAAAATGCATGTGGGTACTCAAATGAAAGGTCCTGATGAGTGTAATATCGGGATGAGCTTATATCTTTAAAAACGTCAATATTTAAGAAAGTACAGTGCAATTTAACATAATTAAGAAACGACCTTGTATCTTGTGAACTATTGATATTTTTAAAGGTATAAGCTCATTCCGATGTTACACTCATCGAGACCTTTCATTTGAGTACTCACATGCATTTTGATATATTTTTCATATATACATATATATAATATATATAAATACATGAAAAATTGATGTGGGTACTCAAATGAAAGGTATTGATGAGTGTAACATCAGGATGAGCTTATACCTTTAAAAACATCAATAATTAAGAAATGACCTTGTATCTTGTCAACTATCGACATTTTTAAAGATATAAGCTCATCCTGACGTTACACTCATCGAGACCTTTCATTTGAGTACCCACATGTATTTTAATATATTTTTCACATATCCATATATACAATATATATAAATATATGAAAAATTGATGTGGGTACTCAAATAAAAGGTCTCGA